GAGCAGCATCGGAGATAGGTGGACATTCGGAAGCATCAGGACGGTAGGGAAGTAGAATATCAATTGTATGGGAAGGGTCACGTCCATAAAGAAGAAAGAATGGTGAAAATGCCGTGGTTGTTTGTATTGCAGTATTATATGCAAATGTGACGTATGGGAGAAAACGGTCCCAGTTGCTATGATCAGATGCCACGTACATTGAGAGCATATCACCCAGCGTGCGGTTAAACCCTTCCGTTAGCCCATTAGTCTGCGGGTTGTATGCTGTTGTTTTCCGATGAATGACGTGGCATTCCGAAAGCAGAGCTTCGACGACGTCGGAGAGGAAAGCGTGTCCTCTGTCACTAAGGAGCTCTCGAGGTGCGCCATGTCGAAGGATAAAGCACCGTAAAATGAAAGAGGCGACATCCTGAGTGGTAGCGCTCGGCAAAGCAGCTGTTTCGGCGTAGCGTGTTAGATGGTCGACCGCCACTGTAATCCACCGATTGCCATCTGGTGTCAATGGAAGGGGGCCGTAGAGGTCAACGCCAACGCGATCAAATAGCTTGGCAGGGCACGGAAGTGGCTGCAATTCGCCAGTCACACGTAGCGGTGTTGATTTGCGTCGCTGGCAGTCAGGACAGCACTGCACAAATTTGCGTACAAAATTGTACATGCCGCGCCAGTAATAGCGATGGCGAAGGCGTTCATATGTTTTGAACACCCCGGCATGGCCACATTGTGGATCGTCGTGAAGAGAGGCGCATACCTGCGATCGCAAAGTGCGTGGAATGACCAGTAGCTACCGGCAGCCATCAGGAGCATAGTTGCGTCGATGAAGTAGTTGATCGCGGCTGGCAAGATGGAAAGCTTGACGCCGGAGGGATCGAGATACCGGAAGGTTGGGCGTACTGGGTAGATATTCGAGAAGAGATGGGATCCACGGGTCACGACGTTGTTCGGTGGCAATTGAGTCAAGATTTAACGATCACAAGGTCTGGGGGCACGTGTTTCCGCACGTCGGATCTGGTGGCAAAGGTGAGCGGGACAGGGCGTCAGCGTCGGAGTGTTTGCGTCCGCAGCGGTATACGACGCGAATGTCGTACTCCTGGATGCGGAATGCCCATCGCGCAAGGCGGCCAGAAGGGTCTTTCAGCGTGGAGAGCCAGCAAAGCGCGTGGTGATCAGTTACTAGATCGAACGGGCGGCCTTATAAGTACGGCCGGAACTTTCCAGAGCCAAACACTCTTTTTCTGTCACGCTGTAATCAGTTCCGGCTTTCGTCAGAGTGCGGCTAGTGTAGGCTACAACGTATTCTGAATAGCCGGGCTTTCGTTGAGCGAGGACAGCGCCTAGCGTGACGCCGCTGGCATCGGTGTGCACTTGGGCAGGAGCCGTCGGGTCGAAGTGGCGAAGATTAGCTGGGGAGGTGAGCAGACGGCGCAGAGTAGTGAAGGCAACGTCGCATGCAGGGGACCATGAGGAGAGGTTCACGTCACCGCGAAGAAGCTGGGTTAATGGTGACATGATAGATGCTAAATTGCGAACAAAGCGTCGGAAATATGAGCATAGGCCTACAAAACTGTGAAGTTCCTTCGTGGTCGTCGGTTTGGGAAATTCTGCGACTGCTCGAAGTTTTGCTGGGTCAGGTAATCCGCCGTGCTTCGACAAGATGTGGCCTAGGATGACGAGCTCGCGTGCAGCGAAGCGGCATTTTTTCAGGTTAAGCTGCAGGCCCGCGTTGGTCAGACAAGTCATAACGTGCCTGAGGCGAAGGAGGTGCGTAGGAAAGTCGTGCGAGAAAACCACGACATCGTCGAGGTAGCAGAGGCATATATTCTATTTGAGGCCACGTAGCGTATTATCCATAAGTCCTTCAAACGTGGTGGGCGCGTTACAAAGGCCAAAGGGCATGACGTTAAATTCATATAGTCCGTCTGGTGTAATAAATGCCGTTTTTTGGCGATCGGCTTCAGCCCTTGGAACTTGCCAGTAGCCAGACTGGAAATCTAGCGACGAGAAGAATTCCGCTCCATGAAGGGTGTCGATGGCGTCATCAATGGGCGGCGAAGGATAGACGTCCTTGCGGGTTATCTTATTCAAACGACGATAGTCCACGCAAAATTGGACAGATCCGTCTTTCTTACGCACGAGGATGACGGGAGACGCCCAGGGACTGTGAGATGGTCGAATGACGTCTTTACGAAGCATATCTTCGGCTTGATCGTTCATGATGCGGCGCTCTTCAGCGGAGTTACGGTAGGGTCTTTGACGCAGTGGCTGGTGTAGGCCAGTGTCAACATGATGTTTGACTTGTGACGTGCGGCCCAGTTGAGGCTGCGACACATCGAAAGAACTCCTGAACTCTTGCAGAAGATCGAGCAGGTCGGCATGTTCGGCAGGAGTAAGAGTGTCGGCAATGGCGCTGGAAAACGTATCATTGGACGACTCCCCGAGTTCCGACAGTGCTTTTGGGTGGTCGCAGTAGTCATCCGGGACATCAACCAAAGCCGAAGGGTCGAGATCCTGCACGCGGCCGAGACATTTCCCCGCAAGCAAAGTGACAAGTGTGGAAAGCGGATTACTTACGAACATATTGCTTCTTTCGGCGGCAAGGTCAATTGTTGCGAAAGGCAGCGGCAGAGCTCGATGACTCTTGAAGATATCGGAAGGCATAAAAAGGCATGTAGCGTCAGTGTAGGCATTGCATGAAACGGAAACAAGGGCGAAATTTCCAGGTGGAATATCGGTATCTTCATGAACGAGCAACTTTGCCGGCTGATGAAGAGCGTCAAGTAATGGGACATTACACAAGCGTGAAAACTCAACTTCGGCGCGAGCGCAGTCGATGACGGCATTATGGCGAGATAGGAAGTCCCACCCGAGGATGACGTCATGCGAACAGACAGCGAGAACAATAAACTCCACGATGTAAAGAATGCCTTCGATGGACACTCTTGCAGTGCACGCTGCGAGAGGCGTTACTTGCTGTGCGCTTGCGGTGTGGAGCGACAGTCCTGAAAGGGGCGTCGTGACTTTGCACAATAAACGGCAGATATTAGCGGCAATAACAGAAACAGCTGCGCCGGTGTCCACAAGGGCGAAAGTACAATAACCTTCAACAGTTACTGCGACCACGTTAGCAGGAGAGAGGCAAGGAGTTAGACAGTTCGAAAACGGGGCAGTTCTTGCCTCTTAAACTGCGGTGCTTAGTTTTCCTTTTCGGAGGGTTCGGGCCGGCGACGCATGGGGGAGGGCGATCGCCGACGAGAAGACGGTGCGCGCTGCGGCTGGAAGTCAAGGTGGTCAGTAGGGACATAGCGAGTTGGTGACGAGACCGGCCCGTATTGGTCGAAGGGTTGGCTGCCGGGTTGCGACGACCGGGCATAGTTGTCGAACGTCTGAGGTCGACGGCGGCAGTAGCGGGCAACGCGTCCGGGAGTGAAGCAGGCGTAGCAAATCGGTCGGTTATCGGGCGTCCTCCAAGGATTGGCGACTGGTGGTGCCGCCCAAGGTGCAGTATAAGCAGCCGAGTGTGCGGGCTGTGAGCGCGAGGTGTAGGGTGGTTGCTGAAGCCTACGCACAGCGTCTGCATATGTGAACGGCGCTGCTACAGGCTGAATCTCTTGCGAACAAGTGACAGGAGGAGCCACAGGCTGCGCTGCATACGTTAAGGGTGCGGCCAGAGGCTGCACGGCTGGCGGATAGGCGACAGGAGGGCCTACCGGCTGCACGACATGCTGGCAGTGAACACGGCTGGATAGAGGCGGCTCGTGGTGCGCAAGATGAACAGCTTGGGCAACCTCTTCCGAAATAGCAGTGCGAAACGGGGCAGGTAGACGGGTGGGGGTCTCGTGAGTGAAGGGCACTAGGGAAAGTTGGAGGGCGACTTCCTCACAGACGAAGGCTCGAACTTGCTGAAGCAACGGTGAATTGTCAGGCAGGGTGTCAAAACTGGACAGTGACTCACCACCACGCTGAGGCTGCCGTGGCGTTGCTTCTTCAACTCGTCGTAGCTCTGACACAAGCTGACGACTTCGGAAACTGTGCTCGGATTTCTTGCCAAGAGCATTTGAAATACGCCGTCGTCGATGCCCTTCAGGATGTGTTTGACCTTGTCAGATTCGGGCATGGTGTCATTCGCACGTCGACAAAGGTCGACGACGTCCTCAATATAGCTGGTAAAGGTCTCGTCAGTCTGCTGAGAGCGGACGCGCAAGCGCTGTTCTGCCCGCTGCTTGCGGACAGCCGGCTGACCGAACACTTCAGCACATGACGTCTTGAATACGCTCCACGTGGGTATGTTGTGTTTGTGGTTGTTAAACCACAATTCGGCGATGCCAGTGAGATAAAATATGACGTGGCCCAGCTTGTCTGCTTCATCCCCCTTATTGTTGGTGCTCACCAGTTCGTAGTGCTCGAGCCAGTCTTCGACGTCGGTCCCATTCGCACCGCTGAAGACTTTCGGGTCCCGTAGCCTAGGATGGCCAGGGCAGTTGAACTGGGGCGAAGGCACCGATGTAGTGGCGTTGTCAGTCATGAAAAGTGGTAGCGTGCGGCTTCGCAGCTCCAGGGTGTAGCAACGGGGATTAACAGCACCTTCCACCAAATGTGAAGAGGTTTAATAGCCGTTAAAGACAGCGACGAGACAGCGTGAAGAACCATCCAGCAATCGGCACAGCAACGAACCGAAGCACGAGACGAGAGAGCCGGGCGTTGGTGATGCTGCTTGCTGCAGGCACATCTTCTTCTTCACAGATAGTTATTTCTGGGATTGTTATAAGTGGGTTTCACTGCATTAGAACTGTGGCTAAAACCTGCTGTTATGTAATAAATCAGCAGAACTAAACTGTTATCTTTCATTTTGCTGGCACAAAAAGTTGTGCTTGATGGATACATTTGACGAGATATGGCGGGGTCACATCAGCTTCGAGGTTTTCTACATTCCACAGCATTTAAAAAGGTTCATTTTCTTTCAGGCTATGGAAATGAATTAATGTGTTCCTTCTCATCCTTTGCAGATTTTGCAACCAGTGTCTTGGCAAGCCTTTCTCGTGAGCTGACTGCTGAAGACTTGGTCTCTATGCTGGACAGTGATCGTCCTCGGCGGCTCAACCGACTACAGGACATTCTGCAGCTGGCAGTGATGCAGCACCTGGCCCCATGCGCAGTGTCAGACCTATCTCAGTTGGTAGCTCCAGCTAGGGATGCCTTACTAGCTAGATGGGCCGCCCCACTTATACAATACATGCAGGTGGGTTTTGCCAGCACGTTTGAAATCTGCAGTCAACTTCTTTGATCAACTTCTTTGAATATTTTCTTTTGATCTGAATCATTTATGTGGGCTTCTGTTTTGTCTCGTATTCTTCTTCTTTGTCCCTACGCTAGCATTTCCAGCTGTGTCAGGCATGCCTTTTAACAGGCCTTTTTCCAGTAGTTAAGTAAGCTAGCTGCTGCAGTACAAACAATGTCATCCACAGACTACATTTTCATTGTTTCAGAACACTAGAAATTTTGTTAGCAACTGTCATGCACCCCATGTCTTCTTTTTTTTTTTTCCTATGCTTGTGTACGAGCTTAGAGGCACCTATTACAACCAGAGTTCGAGCACTTGTTCTAAGATCAAAGTGATGAAGTTGCTTGCTAAGGCTGTTGTAGAAATGTAGTAGCAAAGCTGGCCGGCGCATGAAAATTCGCCGACTGTGGTGGAGATTTTCCGGGTAGTCGTACTTTGAACCTTGAAAAAGGTTAACTACTACGATGACCGTTCTAGAATGTGAGTTAGTGCTGTGTGGTTGATTGCAGCAGCCTTTAGGTGTCATTTAATTACACTCAAACCTCGTCATAGCAGACAAGGATGTAACGTTTGTCGATTGTAACAAAGTCAATGAAGAATGGTTTGTCATAGATACCGTGTTGCAAGACTGTTATAAATTTTGGATATAATGAAGCTGTTTTGTGGCCGATGGGACGTAGGTTTCAGCGTATCACATGGCCATGTGCAAAGCATATCAATTGAAATGACATGTCAACATGCAGAGAATATGGTGGGCCAATGGCAGCCTTGCTGAAGCTTTCATGACCATAGGATCATCAACATGACGTCTATTTAATTATGTCACACCAGTTCGATATATGAAAAATTTAATATAAAAAAATGGAGGCCCCGAGAGCTTACCGTATTTACTCGATTCTACCGCGCCCTCGATTATAACGCGCATTCGGTTTCCACGACGGAAAAAAAAAGAATAAGACATCGATTGCAACGCGCACCCATTTTTCTCGTTGGCCCGCACGATCACACCACTCGGGAAAACGACTCCTTTTGGGAGCGTCTCTTGTTTAAATATGAGGTACGGGGGAAGCTTGTGCCTATCTGACGTGCAACGGAGCATTGCGGTCACTCTAGTTTTACCGTGGCCCGATGTCAGCACACGAACTTGCTTCGCCCCCTTCTTCTCGCCAATTGTGGTGCCAGGCATGTGTAGAACTGCCTAGCGTTGCCAGTTCAGTAACGCACATCCCGCTTTCTCTTGTGTTGTACTGTTTGTGTTCGTATAGGTAATTGTTTGTTCTACGACTAATTTTTTTCCATTTTGTTTCATTTACATTTATTCATCGTAGCAACTGAACCCAAACATTTGCTGTTTTATAGAAGTTTTGAACCTTCTAGGGGCATTCAAGAAACATAAGCGAAGAGGAAAGGGGAGGGTGTCGTTTCTTTGGAAACTTGTTTTATCTGGGGATCTTAAAGGAGCACTGACATCAAATTTCAAGATCGAGATGTGCCCATCATTCGATCGCTTGGTATGCATTGGTCTTCTTGGCCAAATTTGAATAGCATCCGTTGCATGGAAGTTATTTTAATACGATGTCAAATAGCATTGGAAAGCTATGGAGAAAAAATAGGCTGCCCTGCGACATCGACACAAGACCTACGTGTTCAGTGTGATACATTCCACAAATACCATCATGAGAGATGATACGCTAGTAACAATGACATCAACGACCTAAGTGTGTTTGGAGCCGACTCCCAGCTATGCTCTCACTAATAGCTCTCCTTGCTTTGTTAAAGCGTGCGTGCGATTCATCATGTCGCATCGACTGATTTGACGTGTGCTCCACAGTGTGAGTACGATCATTCAGAGTGACAATATATGCCAGAATATTGGGAAACCGCCCTTCACGTCAAGGCGCCGAAAAAGTGAAAAGTGCGTGGAGTTTCATGCCTTTCCAAGCCACGAACGTCAACGCAGCCAGCGGGTTGACTTTGTATGCGCCAATGAACAGAGAGACTGGACGCCTGTGAAAAACAGCCGCATTTGCTCGCTTCACTTTGCGCGGTGCTGCTACAGGGTAAATCCTTTGTTGGCGAACCAGTTGGGTTTTATAAGCAGTACCAGATGCCCCTTCTCAAGGCCGGGGCTAAAGGGAGAAGGGAAGAATGAGTTGGCGCTACTTAACCTAGCCTGCGGACAACGCATGGAGGGGCTCTAGTCTACATCATCAGCGACACAGCTGTACTGACTGCACGTGCGCTCCTAGCAGACGAAATACCAGTGTGCGTGATGTCACCATTTTTTGTGGAAGCAGCATCAGCTGTGCAACGGCCTCAATGTGGCCGCGAGGTAGGGCTGGCAGCACTACAATTTGGCGGGCTTTCGACCCATTTTGAACCGCATTCGATAGCGGATATATTAATCAATATTACAAATATTCATTCATCACTCAGACGTGTTTTAGGTCGCAAATTGCTTCTAGGGAGTTGATAGCTACTAGTTGAAGCAAAAATCTTGACATGAGTAAATTTGATGTCAGTGCTCCTTTAAGCTTAACCAGTCAAAAACTGAACTTTAGAATCACTCGTGCCTTTCTCTATAGTAGTAACGTTGGGCGGTACTTATTTATATAAATCAAATGGAAAGGGATTGCATCTGTTGATGCACAGAAAGCTTTTTTTATTGCAGCTAGTTTGATTACTAGTTAATAATTGTAAATGGACGCTCTCATGTCATCGCAATCATTTCGTGAATGTCCCACTCGTGGCGCACGTCGTGTAGTGCGTTGCCGTTTTGGGCAGCTTTCCTTTTGACATAAATTATTATTTGCCTTTAGTGTCTCTTTAACATAAATGTTTTGTGGCTTGGGCACCATACTATTACTTCGTGTGAGAGTGAGAGCCTTAAAAATTGCATTGTAAGGTTTCTCTCATTTTGCTTGTACAGTCGAATCTCGTTAATTCGAACACGTTTCATTCGAACTTCCGGTTAATTCGAACTCACAACAAGGTCCCGTCAAAGCTATGTGTATTCCAATGAGCTAAAACGCCCGGTAATTCGAACGCGCAAGCACTTGCGATGGTTAATTCGAACATACTGCGCACCGAAAATGCTCTCGGCCAACAGTGTGGCTTTGTCTCAGCACCCCGCCCAATCCGCAGCAACACCTGCGACACCTCAACGCTGCGCCTGATGGAAATGAAAAGGAAAGAAAAGGCTGCGGTGGAATGTTTGATCTCTCTCACATACCGATCTGCGACGTGCCGGTGCCACGTTTCTCCCTTTTCGGTCCCTGCCACGTAAAGACCATTTTCCTTCCAACGCCGCCGGGCTGCAGAAATTAGGTGCCTTTTCTCATATTCTAACCACTACCACCACTACCCTTGCCCTTTGCGGGAGCATGGCTCTGCGCCTTGAGGAGGGGGGGGGTCTCTCACGCAATAGTGCCATGCTTCCCCCTTTTCCGTTTAAGAGACGCGCGAAGAGAGAAAAAAAAAATCTGGCGTGGAGTGTTGGTTTATCTCAAATGCCGATCTGCTTCTCTCTGCTTGGAGACGCTCCTCCTTTCCTCCTCTTTTCTCGTTACGTGCTAGCCATGCTGCTTCGGCCGCGTAGCGGAGAGGCTCCGCTGCGTTACGCAGTTGTTGTCATCGTGTGAAATTGATTGACTCGCTGCAAGGCAAACGTGTGCAGACGCGCATCACCGCTTACTTCAATTAATAACGGTTGTCCTGTGATTTGTGAATATATGTAGGTCTTCTGAAGTTTCCCTCTCGTGTGTTAGCTCAATGCACATGCGCCACTGCATGGAGAGCCCTCGGTTTATTTAGCTTTCATTAATTCAATCTTCTTTTCATTCGAACAAATTTTCGGGCCCCTTTGAGTTCGAATTATCGAGATTTGACTGTATTTTGATGTTTCCTTTGTGGATAACTTCGGTTTGTGTATATTCCTCTCAAATTTCTTTGATATGCTAAGCAAAGGCTTCAAGCATACATTTCTTTTAAACACAGATTTAATGATGACAAATGCATTGAGATGGGTGCGCAAAAAAACTGAATGTATCCTTGTCTTTTTTTCTTTCTTTTTTTTTCATACAGGAAAAAGGCAATGTAAGGCCTAACGTGGATGTGCAAGCTACCATTAATGGATTTTTGAGTGAAAGGCTGCACGCAGTTCTTCTGCACATTCTTGGGCCCAGTAAGCCTGTTTATTCTCCTTCACTGATACTTTGTTTTTTGATGCCCATAAGTATGTAGTGAGAGTTGTATAAAGGTATTGAGTACAATATAACCTTGTTGATACGTTCCCGCTTAATGGGAGATGCTACTCGAAAACTATTTTCTTTAATAAGAGTCTGAATTTAACACAAATTGGCATGCTAATAGTGTTTTTTCTCCTCTTTTCAAATATGTCATTTATTTTCATGTAGATTGCTTGGTTTTCTTTCTGCGGGTCAGATATTGCAAAATTATGGTCATTGTTATGCAACAATTCTGACCTATAAAAATTTGAGATAAAGCATGCAGATATAGCTGACTATGATTCTTTGGAACTGTAGAGTGCAAAAAACTATATAAATTTTGTGTGTAAAAAGGTGAAATACAATAATAAAATAGAAAAATTTACTATGGCTCTAGTTGCCAAGGGCTTTCAATGTTATGTAATTTTTGAAAAACATAATCAAGCAGCACTGACAATCTGAATAGATTCTTGCACTCTATGGGCCTTCATCATGCTATGTGCAAAATTTCATAGAGGTATGACAATTCTAAGTATACGAACTAGCGTGTATAAGAAGCACAGATCACACAAAACTGCAAAAGGAGAAAAACGCATTTGAAAGTTTGAAACCTTTTTTTTTTATCACAGAGTTGTTAGAAATGCATAATCTTTGGCCATAATGTTCAACGGAACTTTGAGAAGCACTGCAAGTTACTAGAACTGTCCTACAGCATAGGTTGTGCCCTCACGGTCCTTGCGAGCACTCTCTTCTAGCCGAGCCCTTTTCACTCCACGACGACGGTGGGCCCTTGCTTCTGCTGTCAGACGCTCGGACATTCTCTTGATGCGCCTCGCATCGCGGGAATCACTGAAAGTAACTAGATCTCTAGATGGCAGTATGTTGAGCTCTTCCAGGATGTGCTCGAAAGTAGCATGACCCTTGTTGAACCACAGGATTGCCATAGCTGCGGCAGCCTCGACAACCGTTCGGGAGACAAACTTAGTCTTGGGGCAAAGTAGCCAAATTTTGCTGTTCAGGGATTCCGATGCGTTCTGGGTTTTCCCTTTGATGCATCGAGCAAGGAGCTTCTCATCCGTTAGCTGCTTATAAATGGGCAAAACAGCCAATCCCTGTGCTTTTGTCAGGAGAGGTGTGTGGCGTGGTGCAGGTTCACCAAGTGCTTCAGCGCGTTGATGTTTGCACCACGACTCTGTTCCTGCAGGGCAAAACTTGTGGCTGCCAGCATTGTCAGTAGAGCATGAGTGGAAGTACGAAGCCCATACTGCAGTGTACATATCCCGTACACTCCCCCTGTTGCTTGTTATGGCAATCTGATAGTATTTTTGGAGCTTCTGAATGGCTGGCTCTTTCATTTTCTGCCCTCGTGGTAATGGCACATGCAGCTTCCGTAGCGCGGTGCCAAGTCTCTTGGCCACATGATTAGTGCAGTCTTCTTTTTCTATATTGACAGCACCATAGACTTTTGACTCTGCAACTGCACTATATGCTTTGCTGTCACAGTCACTCAAGAATGTCATGAAATGCAGTGGGGTGTCATAAGTTAATGTTCTCTGCCAAATGCGCATTGCAGCCTCCGTTTCCATGGCATGGGAGGAACAGTCTGCATTTTTTCACAGACTGGGCCATGAAATGCCTGCCACACTTCCTCGTCTGGGCCCATATCCTTGTGCCTACTGCATGTCAGGCAGTAATTTGATATGACCTCGAAGTCTAAGCAGAGGCCAGTATCTAAGGAGATAACTGCTCCAATCCCGTTGTGGCTTTTGTGGCCCCTCTTCTGCCAAGTGCCGTCGAACATAACAGCCACATCAGTTTCGCCTGCTACTTCTTTCGTCAACTCTTTGGATCGGCGCAAGTTTTAACTCACAGCTGCCATGGCAGCGGTGTGCACCTTCTTTGCTATCAAAAAAAAATCCTCAGTGGTGCATTGGCTTTGGGAGTCCAATAATGGAGCAAAATCTCGACGATTGCTCATGCCCAATGCCGACAGCGCGTGCAGCCACCACCGCCTTCAAATTTACAGCGAAACTATCTCGGGAGCTCCCACTGTCGTACCGTGGGCTCACTCTGCTGCTGCCATCCGCTGTAACAGGTAGTGACGTATAGGAGCACGAAAGAACAGTCGCTGAACATTCGCTGTTTTCGCAATGAAGTTCGAAGAGCGACGAAAGTCTCTTGCGCTTTTCTGCCGGCTCCCGAACGGCAAGTTTTTGAATATCGCAAGCAGGGCATGCCACACCTGCCACAAGTGCCGTCAGCAAGAGGGTGTCGCACAAAACTGTCGTTGCACAAACCTCATCGCGCTGTCTTTCGTCTTTTTCGAAGAAGCCGAGCTTCTTTTTCGAAGCACTGACGAAAGAAAGCGCAGCGTCAATCCCTTCATCGCAGCCACTGTCGCTCACGCACTCGTCGATGCCGCCGTCAGGCCTAGCACACGTAGGCGCGTTCTCGTTCGTCGCCGTCGTTCGAGGCGCTTTACGCCGCCTTCCCTTGAACTTGTGCTTCGTTCGAAACTTCTGCGGTCTCACGTTGCACTTTTTCGGGCTTGTCATCGCGGAAATATGCGTAGACGCGCATAAAAGCAGACGGACCAAATGCCGATGGCCGCCACCAACGCAGCTGACAATGACTCGGTAGCCAATGGCGATGCGGCTTAGGGTGCCGCACGTTTGAAACCGCTCAAACCACGTGATAAAAAGGCCTCTCTCTCTTTTTTTTTTTTGCTCACGTATGAAACTCGTGGTCGTCAGAGCTGTAAGAAGAAGGCCGGACGCAAATTTCCCAACCGATCGAGATGGCGGGCGGCACTGCGACGGGGAGCAGCGCGCAGTCAAAGATGGCCAATATCGGCGCATATTCACGAAATTTTGAGCCACCGCGATGCCTTCATACACATTTTTTTTTTTGCATTTTGCGGTTCGAATTTAGTTTTGAAATTTTCAGATGAAAGAAGGTTTGAAGATTACAATGCAATAAAAATCAGAAATACGAGAAATTTTGCTGAAAACACGATTTTTTCGACTCACATCTCCCCTTAATGATTCTCTGGCTCCTACACTCAAAATCGTGAAAACTAAAAATGCCCCCCAATTGCTATGTGTTAATACATTTCGCTTAATACATTCCCGGAAAATATTATTACTGTATTTACTCGCGTAATGAACGCACTCACATTCAGTCATCAAAATTTGGATTATTCCCCCCGCGTAATAAACGCATCCCCTACATTCATCTGCTGCAGTCCTGCTAACAGACACCTGGCACCTCCTAACCCGTGGGATCTCTTTCGTTTTTTATTTTGCCGACCCCCTCGGCAACCTCTGCTCGCTCCCTCTCCCCCTTCGCCTGTTGCCGCGTGCCGTATTGTTTTTCTTTCTATCTGTGCGCTGCACGTCGCCAGTCTTTTCTACCTGTGTGCCACAGCGGGGTTCACGAACGATGTGAGTGAGCTTCACGAAACTGCACGCGCTAACCGGTGGTGGCTTCCTGCGAATACAAAAAAGCCCAACCACGTGCACGCGATTTTCAAGCAACGACAACAGGATTTGCTGTCGCAAAGGAATATTCTTCGCTATCGTGTCGCAAGTTTCTGGAAAACCAGAAAAAAAAAAAGCCACCATTTCGTCGTAAGGGCAAAGCAATGAATGCGAAAGCAACAACTTAAAATGTAACGCTGAGAACGGCTAGCGGATGGAAACATGAAGCGCGCTTCCCACGCACAAATTATGCACGAAAATGACACACACACAGGACAAGAGCTAGCTTACAACGTCTACAGCTCCGCGTCTAGCTCGATGTTTAATCAAAAACGACACACGAAACGTAAACGCAGGTACAGACATGAGTGCGAACTAACTTGTGTCCCAGTTGTGTTACTTCGATGTGTTTGAAAAGCGCGCTCTCTTCGCAAACCAGGCCTGCCCAGCAAGCGAAGTGATCTTGGTGCACCCGGCAACTAAACGCAACTTTCCCGTGAAATGCGAAGGCACACGATTCTCCCCACCTAAAGATAAGCGCGCATCCACGAGCACCTTACCCCCCCCTCCTGCCCTATTCGCGGGGCAAAGTACGCGTGGAAGATAAGCGCGTGTTGGTGCATTGTGACAAGCTGGGTGCCGAGCACCAACGGCTTTTTTCTTTCATGAGTTTTTATATATATAGATACGTATACATATACGGTGCATGACGGTGGTGGCTGCAAAAACCAGCCGAGACTGTCCATATAGTTGCTATCGCAGTAAAAATCACTTGTCCAGAAAAGATCCTGCCGATTTCCACAACATAGTAGCACCCCCGATTCTCTCTTCGCTTGTTATCCGTGTCGCCTGCGCGTACAGAAACGTCTCATGCAGAATTGAGGCAGGGGAGGCAGGGGCCATATTTTGTCGTAAATTTTAGCGACTGTTTGTTTTGATCCTTCGGGGGTAGCTTGCTGCAATGATGCTTGCTACAATGTTAATGGCATCATCACGGTCGTCGTGCGAGGTTGCCACAAAGTTGGCAAAGTGCGTCGTAGCGCATGCTTTTGAGCACCCTTCGAGATCGCAACAGATACCACTGTTGTGGCTAAACGATTACGAGTAAAGATAGCTGCAAAACGCTTTTGTGGCATGTGTAGGCAGCCCGGGGACAGCTTCAAAGTGCAACAAAGAAGCTGTTTCCAAACAGTGTACGCATATGTCAATTACGAAAGGCTAAGCGACGCAACCTTTTTTTGCATTACCACATTTTTTGCTCCTCCCGAAAAAGTTTTCATAAAAGTTGCCCTGCGTAATAAATGCACCTCCCAACTTTGCTCCGATTTTTTTTTTTTTTTTTAGAAAAAAGTGCGTTCATTATACGAGTAAATACGGTATTCGGCGGAACGTTTGGCATTGCAGCAAAGTGCGGTCGTATGATACGTTCTGCATGCAAAAATTCCGATTCGGGTGTGCAAAAAAAAAATAAAATGCTCTCGCGTGCTTGTGAAGCGCCAAGTGGCAAACTGCTCCCGCGTGGCGACCGCAGTTTCCTTGCTGCTGTCAATTTTCACCCCTTTCCCACGCAGAGTTTCAGTTGTCAACGTCTTCAAACTGTTCTAAAAAAGTGCTTGTTATTTTTTGTAGCGCAGGGGTTTTCATGATTTATCCTGGCCTGTAGGGCTGCCGGATCATCGGTACGCAGTTGCTGCTGGCAATCGGCCTCCTGGGCCTGTTTTTATGCCCGTACTGTACCATCGGCCCGGCAAATATGAGCTCTCTCGCGTTAAACTGTCAGCTCTCTGTGATAGTTGACCGTGGCCTATCCATGTCTCCACAGCGCCACAGCAGCAACGAGATGGGCGACGTCACTCAGCCAACGCAGCCAATGGTGCACGTGGTTTATGATGCGAAGGACGACGTGACTGATATCACAGCCAATGGAAACCACTCTCCACTCTGACACTGATGCCGAACGGTTTAGGAATATGCAGGCCGCGCCAGGTTTTCTCTGGCTGGGCCCTGTGCGAGGCTCCACTTTGCTCAGTGTACATTATTAGCGATTCGAGGCAGTAGTGTCTAGCATGGCATCGAAGAAGTGCAACCCCTTGTCGATTAAGAAAAAGCAAATCGACATAACGAATGAACTTGGACTGCCAGCGTCTACTGTGAATACCGTGGTGTCGAAGCGAAAGAGATTTCGATCAACGCCTTGGTATTCGGCAGCGCAACAAAGCAAGCCCATAGAGCTTGCCATGGGGAGCTGGAGGAAGCGCTATTGAAGTGGTTTAAGCAAGCACGCACCTCCAGAGTTAACTTCGATGGCAGCGTGCTTAATGGGCAATTGTTTCAGCAGGTGCAGTTTTTGGCAGCAGCTTGCATCATAGGACGCAGAGGGCAGCAAAGACGACCCTGTGACATGCGTATCTGACATCGGTGACGATGCATCCTTTGCCGAGTTCGTCTTGATAGACCACAACGTCCTGACTTGCATGCTACAAAGTTTTGCCGTGATTGTCGCAGAGGTTTGGTGGGGGAGGGGGGATGCAGCAAAGGAGTGGGAGACGAGGCACCGGAAGACAGCGGCGAGAACGAAAGCGTGCGCCACCAGGTGAACTTCGTTGAAGCCCTTGCTAGACTGGAAGCTTTTGAAAGCTTCCTTTGCAGGAAAAACAATGAAGATGCAGACAAGGGTCTGCATCTTCATTGTGTGCAGAAGGAGCTTTTCTTGTCCATAGGTGAGAGGCAGGTGCAGAAAATTACTGATTGAGAAATGTTTTTTGCTCTTACACCTCTACATGGACTTGTCAGCCTCAGATCGTACCTTTTTCTGGATCATGCGTTTATTTTCCACATTTTTTTTTAGAAAACGTATCAAGGTATTCGTATGGGAAGCATATGGGACTGGTGTATACATATATTGTTACCAATAAATATAGCACTTGGTACTATACAAACTATATATTTAGGGCGAACCTGTGCCCGTAAACTCAAAACTAAAATGGTCAGCCAAAATGTCCCTTGCTCACAGACTCCAACTTTGTCGGTCTCTTCCTCTTCACCTTGAGTCTCGTGCTGGTCCAGTGGCGTAGCATCGTGGCCCGTGCTGGACAGATTTCCATGGCGCGGCTTTCTTGCTACTTGTGTGGCGGCTTTTACGAACGCAAATTGTTGCGCGCATCTTCTGCGAATCTCGATCCGTGGCAATATCAAACTCTCGCACAGCGGAACATTCGCTATATTGAGCACTGCGCCGAGCCAAAGCCCTGAAAGTGCATCAAGTTTCAGATTCCTTTTCGCGTGCAGGTGATGAAGAGGCAGTGTTATTCATCGCGCTGATCTAATTCATTGTGTAGTGCTTGTGAGTGCACCAGTAAGTTTGATGCGCGATCTGCAGATTTTAATTTTTAATGTGTGGTCATGACATTTTTGGAAGAGTCCAGTCGTCGAGGGCACCAAAACAAGAAAGTGAAATGACTTGGCGACATTGTTCCGATGTTTGCATTCCCTTCATTGTTTTTGTGCAGGTTGGCATGTGGGTTCGAAAAGAATAGCCTTCGAGATGTGCAACCTCGTGTCGTATATTTAGTGTTTTCATAGCATGTTTTAGTTTTAGAACGAAAATCCCGGAGGCTTCACTTTTCCTAGCTTTTTGCGCCAATGCAGTGGCTACCTACAACAAAGTCACTAGAGACATTGCTATTCTGACAACTATTCAATACAGTGTGTGTCACTTGCTGATATGAAAGCAACTCGCCATTGCTGCATTGGCCTGACAAAATACTTGCCGCACTTTTTCACAATCTGGTGCTGAGCGAGCTCAAAGAAATGTCGCTGCGCAAGTGCAAACGCATGCATACATTACAGTGAGTGGTGCTGACGAAGTGAGCTTAGTAGGCGGTGCACTGCACGCAACCAGCTTGTTAAACTCAGCTTGACAATCCAGCAGGTGGCGTATTTTATATGTAACTGCACCGGTTTTTGCTACGTATTGCGTACAAACATCCGTCAGCTGTGCCTCTGTCGACAACGTCGGCATGTATTCTTTGTCAAAGTTATCAAATAATTTGATGATAGTGCATGGTCAATTGAATGTGTCGAAATGTTTTTCACGCAGTGGCAAATAAAGTATTCTTTGTCAAAGTTATCAAATAATTTGATGATAGTGCATGGTCAATTGAATGTGTCGAAATGTTTTTCACGCAGTGGCAAATAAAGAAAAAACAGTACACTTTTGGTAATGTTACAATAGCATTGTCGCATATATTTCTCTGTTTCTTACGGCAAAGCGTGTGAGGCTATGGAATTTTGAGGCAGTGCGTAATTATGCTGCGATCCTGACAGCACTTTTGTAATCTATCTTGCATGCATCAGACTCGCGTGGCAGCATCTCCTGATATAAAAATGGTCTGTAACTTCGTTGCTGTGATCTCACTGTTTTGTCATTGTCAGTTTACTGCCATTGGTAGGGAGCGCATTGAAAGCGGTCGCAAGGTACCTAAATAGAGCCCTCAGAGCTGTGGCGCCAATAACATAGAATGAAGCAAAAGCTCTGAGAACAGAATGTGCACTTTCAGAGAAGCTCTTCTAAAGGCACGAGTGCTGTACGTAAACTACATATTGTCCCATGTGAAAAATACCCCTATGGCATCTTTATTCAGTGTGCCAAAGGATAAAGCACTCTGAAGGCTCTGGGGGGACAGAGTATATACTCTCCGACAGGACCCTCGGAGATGGAAGGGCTGTACAAGGTCTGTTAGAAAAGTATCTGACCTTATTTTGTTTTTGCAAGCACCTGATGGTTTTGAAACAAGCACGCTTGCATCAGCCGACCTTAAACCTTCATGTGCATGCCTGAATTTTTTCCCCCCTGCCAATAGCGTCAGTCGCTGAGACGCAGCGTTTCAGCGAGGTAATGTGCAGTGCTCTCGTCATTTTTTTATTGCATGAAAAACGACGGAGCGACTGGAACAGTGTTACTGCATCGAATTTTGCCAGAAACTGGGCGACAGCCAAGTGGAAATCATTGGGAAGATCAAGACAGCTTTCGGTGACTACGCTATGGGCCGCACACAAACTAAGGAGTGGTACAACCAGTTTAAAGATGGCTGCACATCGGTGGTTACGGACACCGGCGGCAGCAGCAGCGGTTAACTACGGTGCCACACATGACCCGAGTTGTGATCTCGTAACAGCTTTCGCTGTAAAACAGCCTGTAATAGTGTTTCATGGTGCAGCTGGGATGTAGCCTGCCTTATGTAAACATGGCAGGTAGTTGCATATCTTTCTTGAAATTGCTGTATAAGGTCTTGTTTTCAAGTTGCACTGGTTCAATGTCAATTTTGTGTTATAGATGCATGAGTGATCTATGGTAAATGCACCAACTATATTGGCAACTGTCAGTACTGTGCTGTTTCGCAAGGCGTATGTTACAGCTGTGACCATCAGTGCCAGCATCTTGCACCCGCTCTATGAATGAGTCAACATTTTTGTCAGATACAATTGGTCAAGGTTTATGCTTGCATTAAAAATAGGAGCAGCCTTGAACAGCCGCCTGTAGTTCTTTCCTGTTTAGTGGGTGAGATTCTGGCCCTGGCGTAGCCATGCTTGCTGTGGTTGGCACTAAGCTAGACGAACAAACAAGCCAAAGCTCTAGTATGTGTGGACAACTAATTGAGATGCAATAAGGCGCTGTAATTTTTTACGAGCACTATTTACAGGAAGTTCTTTTAACCTCTTTTCAGGCACAAGAAATTTCGGGCAGAAATTGTTCTCTCTTGTTCAAGTGGCACTCACTGACCTGGTGGCCTTGGCATCATCCTGCTTTGAGGACGGTGCAGAGTCCCTGAATGCAGTCTTTCATGCCAGGATGGATCCCATCTTGTTGGGCCTGAGCCGGAATCTAAGCTGCAAAACTCAAGTTTTCCTCTGTGGCTGGATTGACACCTTCTGGCAAAGAGTCTCTGAAGGCTTGTCATCTTCCGAGGGTGCCACTGCTGCTATTGTTTCAAAATATCTCGTGCAGCATGACAACACAGCAACAAGGGATGCTGCTACTAATACTGATACTATTTCCGACCTAAATGATACCGGTGCATCAAGAACGGATGCTGATCACCAAATTACAGTAAGCGCCTTCAGTTTTGGCTATGCAATATAAAGCTATTTAGTGCATTAAGTGAGCATTCTGCTACAATGAATCTTAAAAATACCATATTTACTTGCTTTAATTGCGCACCCCTAATATTTTGCCAGCTTTATTTTTAAAAATATTTACTGGCATATTTTGCAGTCCCCGACTCGCTCAAGCCAGCTCGGCGGCGCGCACACGAAGAGACTTTGTACACTTTGGATAGATACGCCCCTTGCTAAGCAGGCTAGTGCAGTCAGACATGAAATGAGATGCAATTGTGACGTTCCTTCTTTCGAGGACTCCCAAACTGCTGTTTCTTCAATACTATACTCGAAAACTCAAACCTGTTGATGGGTTGTGAGAATTGCTCAAGCATTTCCCTCCTCCTCCCCATCTCTTTCATCGTCAGAATGCGGACTGTTTTCTGCATCGGAGGTGTGCAAACAGTGCAAGGGCCTGTCGCGCCTCTGTTCCCCTCTTTCACAGCGTCTGCACGCCAACAAACGGGTGGTTGGTTTCGGAAGTTTAGGTTGCGCCAATGGTCCATTGCGTTTTTACAGTTTTCTTGGGATGGGCTACCCTTCACGGCAAGGAGAGGCGTGCGAGGGCCTGTCACACCAACTGTTCCCCTCGTTCTTTGCACTTGGGTTTAGCCCAATTCATTCAGAAGTATTGAGTTCTGTCCCCTTCCCTCCTTCTTCTAGCACTGGCCCGGGATAGTTTTTAAAGGAACCGAGAACTGCCGATGGAGGCGAAAACGCTTGAGGCCCGTGTGCTTACGTTTAGGTGCATGTTAAAGAACACCAGATGGTTGAAATGTCCGGAGCCCTCCGCTACGGAGTCTTTCACAATCATATGGTGGTTTTGGGATGTTAAACTCTAACATTTATATAATATTGTTATATTAACTTAAAATGCGATGACTTTACTGATGGAAAGGTTGTCCATTACATTGACTCAAACCAACCCTGTTCTTTTCGTGGGATGTGGATTTATATTTTCATTTCTTAATTAAAAGCCTGAAATGCATAGGAATAGGAATTTCTGTGAAAGCAGGACAACAGCTTTCACAAATCGCAAGAAGCGCTGGGGGCATTGCTGGAGGAAAGGTACGTCTATGCTTAGAGCCTTTCAAATCTCAAAATACTGCTTGTAAAATAACTACATTCTTTTGGGAACTACTGCAACTACAAACACTACGAAAGATGAGGTTTCTGTCACGCCGTATCAAAATGGGTCGAGAAAAACAAGTTGTCTGTCCTTTTAAGAGCTTAGCTTAGGCTCCCATTAATTGCTAGCGGACAGTTGGCCACCCTGTCTAGCAGCTATTTCACAGAGAATTGTTTATGCCCGCTGCTTCTTTTTTCCAGGCTCTTAAATCGCCAGGTGGGGACAAGTAGAGTTGGGCACCATGGTCACATAAACGAAGTCACAAGATGACGAAACTTACTCCTGAGGTGCCATATAAGTATATGTATGCGTATGCATCCATATAATAAAAGGTTTTTGTGATACAGAAATTCGTTTTTTGTCTTCTTAATACTTTCTCTCGCGGTGTGTGTGTGTGCGTGTGTGCGCGGTCACTGCATGTGTGTGCGTGTCTTTCTTTAGCCAAGATGTACATGCATTTCTTGTTATTTTTGTCTCCTTCAAGGTCCACATGTGTTTTCTTTGCTGGGCATAAAGTTTAGATTTTTTCTTAAGGGTAAATAAAAAAAGTGTCACTGTTTTGCAGAATCAGACTTCTGCTGAGCAAGGGGCTCAAAGTCTAAACAATGGGGAAGCTGCAAGCATAACTCCAGAGAATCGGCCATTAGCACCACCATTGGATGAGGAGCCGCTCCCCCCTGTCATCTTGGGTTCAGAACCATGGCATGCATCAGTACCATCGGTAAGGAGTAATTTTGATGGCTTCAGGGATGAAACAATGTACTATCTGTATTTCCTTGCATAGTTATTTGCATTACAAAATACAGTGTATATTGCGATGCCATTTTAATGTAATCAAGGTATAATGAATGAAACCACTTTCTTGTAAAATTTTATTGAACTACACCAGCCTGCAAAGCAAAGTGTGCGTTTTTACATTTTCTATCATTCATATTTTTTGCGACATAATTATGCCGGACAAATTTCGTAGAGGGCTTACTCCATTTTGAAGCCATACTGTTTTTGAAAAGTACACCACAAGTTTTTATAGAGGTAGAAACTTAAGCTTTCCATTAAATATGTTGTTCCTTTGAACTTACCAAGAAAGGATGCTTAAACGGCCCCTAAACCACCCAGAAGTCAAAATTCAATTCTGGTAAGGAAGTTGTGTGCGAGCGTACCACGACCACAAAGCCGTGACAATTTTTTGAAATGATGCCGTAATAGTGGAATCAGAGGTGTTTATCTAAATGCAGTCTCTCCTTCGCTACCCTCTATTAGTATCCTCTCCCAAAGCTGATCTGCCCTCTTGCCGAGCGTCCCTCCCAACCTTGCGCGGCATACGTCATTGCTGATGTGCTGCTCAAAACACTGTCTACTTTCGGTTGCCCTGACGCCGTCCATCGGTCTACTCCATCAATTGCCTGCTTGTTGGCGAACCGCTGCTGCCATGCCGGCCCATGCTTACATGAATTGTGCAAGTGTCGTCCCTGTGTTACAGCCGCAGTAGCTGATTTGCAAGCGCACGCATGCACGTGGGCAACATGACAAACAACAAGCAGCATGAACATCTGCTTGCAGACTAACCAGAAGTCGTAGGCTCTTGCTCGACCAATCACAGCATCAATGTGCTGCGCATCAGAGATTCAATTTTTCGACGTCATGCGGAAGCCGGAAAGATTCGGAGAAGAGGAGAATTCAGTGATCCCACTCCTTCCTCAACTGCGCCAAAGTGCACCACGTCATATTTATTGCGCTGTCCTGATAATATCAATGGAAGTTGCACCAAAATGCGCCAACGTCTGATTTGGGAGTGTCTATTTACGGCAATAGCCACACCGGTGCGTCAGTTCATGTGCACCTTGTTCTCGGAGCCACCAAAGTCTCAATCACGTACCTATTTCATTACACTTAAGAAACAGCGGTCGTGCGTGTGTCTTACAATCCACGTTATGTTTGGTGCAGATGCGACTCTGCTGTTCAAGTCTGCTTAACGGTGAAATGCGCTCTCCGCAAAGGCCCATGATGTCTAGTCCAATCGGTAGGGTGAAACTGTGGCGACGTATAATCGGTGGACGTCGTTTGAAAAGTTCCACGGCATGTATTAAAGCAATTTTCACTAATATTAACTGCACGCGTTCTGCCAGAATGTCTGCCACTTCTATTTCTGGACATCGCTATCTAATTTTCTAAGTTTTGTGTCCACAGAACAACACGTGAATGGGGGGGAACGCGTTGGCACTTTTTCTCTAATATACTTCATCAATGGATTGTCAGAAGAGCTTTTCATAATTCCTTACACCAACACATCCTCATTGAAAAGACCCTAAAAGACCTTCCCTTTAGAACTCAAGGTTACTAGGGTTCAAATTGAAAATTCTCGTTTGTTTTCTTTTGAAATGCCATCTCATCAATAAAAGCATGCCTCCTGGCCGGGGCATCAACAATGTGAGATTGCTGGCCGCTCTGGTATTGCAAGGCCTGTGAATTAATCGGCTACCCCTTGTTACACATCCGCCCCTCCCTTTACGGGGGTCAGTAGCTGATGGTAAAAAGGGAAGGGGGGGATATTACGGCATCCCATTCATTGCTTTGTTTTGAAAGGAATGGTAAAGGGGAGGCTGCTGCGTCGCTTGAAGTGTGCAGTCGCTGGTGCAAGCTATGTCTTGAGCTATCTTGAGGCATAATGAAACTGCTCGTAAACTTTTTGTGCTACTAACCTTTGCTTTGCGTTTAGATAACTGACAGCACAAAAACCGCTTCGGTAACTGGACTGATCATTGTCCCTTTAGCAAGTGTTCTTTTGAGTAATCCAAAGGTACAATTTGTTACTTCCACTGACGCTCTTAGCAAGGAATGTGATATACCAACAAATTTTATTTTTGTGCCAAATAATAAAGCTCGATGTCATCCATAAGAAGCGCTAGTGGCAGGATTGCCATTTTCAAGGTCCGCGCACTCGCAGCAACTTGCTGCATGCGCAGTGTTTGATATCCGCGCCTTCGGTGACTAGAGACCCTCAGAACGTCTCTTGCACGCTGATGCACATACAGATAAAATCTGACTTCTCTAGAGTGCCCAGCCGGCCGCTCCAGCTGGCGTTTTCTCCAGAAATACGAGAGACGCCGTAATGATAAAAAAAATGCATATACTGCATGTTAGGCCCTTGTGCTATAATGTAAGCATCAACGGAAGCTTGTAGCAAACGTGAGATAGAAGTTACGGTCAACAACAGTGTCGACAGGCATACGCTCCGCTGCTCTAGACAAATGTGATTCTATCTGTACAGTACCAATGGCACGTACGAATGGACCTCCTAGATGGTGCGACGATGGTGTGGCCTGTGATCAAGGCTTATATGGCCGCTCTAGAAAGTGAAGCACTTTTCTCAGTCTGTTCGCGTTGAGAGTACAAGGTAGAAGAGTATACCAGCTGTGAATAGCGCTCGCGCCAGCGATCACACAATTAAAGTCGGAGTTCATAACAACGCCCCTCCCCCCCCTCGTGTTCTTAGCTCCTTTCTGCTCCTTGGACATAGGTGGTGCATTCGTCTCTGCTTGATTAACGATTGATTGGAGGCCTGGCACGCGGGGGTGTTCTTATCGCATCCACAGTGCAAAAGAAATGGGTCGGTTTTTCTTATCCCTGCCTTAGCCACGTTTGTCGCCCCCGCTCACGTGCTTTGACCTGCGTGTAAAACACATGATGCGCTAGGGGATGTTATCGACTGGGATATTACACAAAACATGCACAACCAGTGGCCTAGCTAGGGGGGGGGGGGCACACCTGGAATGTGCCCCCCACCTCTGAAATTTTCTTCGCCATGGCATATGTAGCGCACAATGACCTTTTACCTGTGCCCAAGGGGCAACTCCCCTCTCCCAATTTTCGTTAAATTACACCTCTGGCGACGGCAAAAACCAGTCGAGAATGTCTATATAGTTGCTATTTCATTAAAAACAAAATGGCTCTTGCCTTTGAGTCGCCTAAGGCATATGGATAAGATATCCTGCGAGTTTTTTTTATGCACTGCTTTCTAGAGGACACGGGAGGGGTTTTTTGGAGTGTAGAAATAATGCCCTAGACACATAAAATATTGGTGCAAAAAGAAAATGAAGTTTGTTAAATTGTGTAGTTTCAGCACAGAGATGAGTGCTGGATGAGGCTGGCTTTCCGAGACTAGCTGAATGACGTCGTATTACGCCCAGCAGTCTAAACGTTTGTCTACCATATCTGCTGATAACCACATAGGCATATTTCAATCAATCAATCAGTTTATTATCATGTCATAAAAGGATGTTACAGGGAGTAAAATATACAGAAGAGGGTCCCAAAGTACAAGACTGCAACGGGACCCTAATATTTGTCTTATTACATGAAGTACAATTTTATTCAACCAGTATTCTGTTTATTTGCTATGAAAATAATGACTAAACAAGTTTTTCTAGAATGCTCAACAGCATGATGCTATTATTCTTGCATCACCAATTGAAATAGGGAGTGCATCTAAGATGATTGGCCCCATAAAATTTACAATGAATCTAAATATTTTAGCTTTTCACAGAAGCCTCTGAATAATTTTTCATGTTCTTGAATGTAAAGGCAACTAGCTTCTCCTCCCGGATTTGAAATTATTTGCTTCAAAATGGAAAATCTTGCTGCTCTAAAGGGCTCCAAAATGAAAATTTTGCTGCTCCGAAAATCGCTCCAAATCTGAACACCTCGATAGCATCACTGGGCATTTTTTCCTAAAATTTTGAACGCATTCCACATGTAGAATCAATGATTGCGATGGCATTCTGCACAGAGTGCACAGAAACCACTTTTTACCACCGATCAGGCATCAGCAAGGTGCCCATATATTCTTATTGTTAAACGCTGACCCTGCCTCCGCAACCCTCTAGTTGCCGCTTCCCCCCCCCCCCCCCCCCCCCCCCCCATGGATGCTGAAAGGAAAGCTGTTTCCTTCCTCCGTGCCCCAACTGCTTTTTGTTAAGCACCCCTCCGTCCTTTGTCACCCCGCTACTCTGAGCACCCCGCATCGCCAGACGAGGCCAGTGTTTTCACACTGCCCTGTTATTAACTGCTGGTACTGTCGTTGGCGCCACCGACCTTGAGTGACCAGACCATTTGCCAACATCGTCGGCCACCGACTCTATCCAATAGTCTGCGTCTGCTGCACGCGCGTACGCTACCCCAACGACTCTGATAATTTGCGATTCGTTTCCTGTTTAGGACTTGTTCTCGCTCACTTCGCACTCGCTCAGCATGCCTTCCACGCGTGTGCGAAAGTGCGAAAACGGTTGTTGATTTGCGCGGAACGAATCGCGAAATATCGAAGTTCGTGAGGCCACACAAAATCGCCGGCGCAACAAAACGATTTTTTGACCACGGCCGCCGATTCTTTGAACACCACCGCACGCATCAATCTAGGCGGCTATGCTTTGACTTCTGCGCGCACAGGCACTCTTTCAAGTTTTTCTACGTGCGAGTTTCGCGGACCTTTCAAGCAAGCTACCCGCCCCGCCACGGTGGTCTAGTGGCTAAGGTAGGTGGCTGCTGACCCGCAGGTCGCGGGATCAAATTTTGGCTTTGGCAGCTGTATTTCCGATGAAGGCGGAAATGTTGTAGGCCCGTGTACTCTGATTTGGGTGCACGTTATAGACCCCCAGGTGGTCGAAATTTCCGGAGCCCTCCATTACGGCGTCTCTCAAAATCATATGGTGGTTTTGGGACGTTAAACTCCACAAATCATCATCAAGCAAACTACCAAACCTGCCTCCTTCCCGTGTGTTGTGATTTTCAAGGTCGCCCTCCTGCCGCATCCTCCCCTCTCTTTATTGCAACTCCTTGCCCTTCTTTCGCAAATGTGCTCTCTTCTCTTGATCACAACCCCTTCGCCCGTCTCCACCGCTCCGCGACGCCAGCCACGCTGGCTCGAATTAGTTTTGTTTTCTAACTGCAAACGGGCCCAGAGATGTTTCAGGCGTTCTGGCATGTGTGTCGCAAGGGGCGCATCTTGCTCGCTCTTGATGTGCGTGGGTGGTCATGATGGCCGACAGGAGGACTAGCACCCTTTTTCCTGCTGCTTTTCCTGTTACCGCTTGGCTTGAGCGTAATCCACGCGTTAGGTGCAGCGTTGCGGAGCGCTTGCTCATAGGTGTCGACCACTTGGCAGCAAACTTGCCGCTTCAAGCGTCCCGGTATTCAGCTGTGGAGATGGTGAATATTTCTTTGGTGCCGGTGATGGCTACATGCACGCGAAACTGTTTTCGCGAGGCCGACTTCGTCGGCGTCGGACCCGGTGCCGAGCCTAAAGCTTCCGAACAGGACCACTGCGGCGGCGATTTGTGGCAGCGTGTCGTCGACTCCGACCTGGGAGAGCGGGGGTAGCACATCTGTTGCGATGGTTTAATTACAGCCTATGATGATGCCGGCACTGTGGAACCTTGCATGGATTGAGGCATTGTGAATGAAGTACGTAGCGAGAGCGATTTGGAGGAATCGGGTTGCGAGAACAACGAAACTTTGCAGCCAGTGCCTCATGCAGCTTTTGCCATGGGCCTTGGCGAACGAGCACCCTGCCGTTTTAAATTAACTTGAGACCGCCCTTATCGCATCTGCTCTTCGAAACACGTGATCACAGACTTTTTGGGACAAAAAAAAGTTTGTGTTTTCACTCGCAACTTATTTTTAAGAGCTGTTTCATTTACTACGCACTTCAGGATACAGAGAACGGATGCCGCGGCACGCTCAGATTCGTTTAAGCAGGCTCAACTGTATATTCATACATATACATATATGTGAGTGGCGGTGGCGGCGGCGGCAAAAACTGACTGAGACTGTCCATATAATTGCTCCCGCAACAAAAAGTCAGAGCCAGTTTACTGGCTCTGTAACACGCATATGTATGTCTATATAGCTGTACAAAGATCTGCTACTGAGCAAAAACGGGTGCCATTTCATTATTGAAACACACCGCTTGCTGCTCCATGTGGCCAGTCATTCCTAGCTTCCTAGCTGATTGTTTGCAGTATCTGGACTACTAAGCAAATGCCGTGGGGTATTCTGCATACACGGTATGCTCCTGATTGTTCATGGGTTCCATGGATGCAGTACCCGTGATGGTCAGTTTCCGTATTTAACAAGTAAGATTATTAAGCACCAGGCAATGTTCCTTTACTTGGTGTTCAGAAAAAGATCATTGCACAGTGCTCACTGTAGTCAAGAACGAATTACGCACACACTTGCCAGGCCAAGAATACAGCATGCTGCATTAAGTTTTTGATGAAATGTTATTGACTGCTTGGTTATTCACCTCATCTAGGAATGGGAGGTGTAGAGAAGGCAGAGTAACGGATGCTTGCACAGTGGCAATGACATGCGCTTTAAACATGACAACTTAGCAACTTCCAGTATTTTCTTGTTGTCTCTCTGAAGTTTTCTTGTGTAATATTATCTCTTTATCGTGGTTTCCGTCTGAGCTAAAAGTTGTGTATCATTCTTTTGAAATAAAGGAATGGGTGCCCATCATCACAAGGGATATTCAGAGGCAACGACGTCAGGCAGCACAGCCTCCATTCAGTGATGCCTACATCTGTGGAATGCCTTCAAAGCGGAGAAAGGTGGGCCAAGAAGTAATTTTCTATACCTAGGTTATTTTCACTACTTTCATTCATTTGGCATCAGTGCTTTCCCGCCTACAATAAAACATTTAAAGCGTTATCGTAGTTGTGTTGCTTTGCATGTGTAGACTGTCCGTCATATATATAAACCCTTCACATATTTGAATACATTTAGGGCTTACATTTCTTGCAGCCCCTGCTAAGACTGCCTTATTCTTATAGAAACAAGTTGCTTCTGAAAAAGGCCCGATGCACGACCCAATAGACACGCCCTTGCTCTGAACAGTAAACAATAATTTACTTGGGCCTAAGTTGATTCGAGATCAAATTGCACCTAAGCAAGAAAATTTCATAACCTTATTTAAGACTGCTTGGTTCTGAAAATCAATCTCATGCACGTCCCGAATTCTTTCAATGGTCTTTATTACTAGCTCTCACAGAATGGGACATTCTGACTTCAGAAGAACAGGTTCTGTGTAATGATGGTTACTGCCTCAAGAAAATTATGATTCTTACCGCTTCGTCGGTATGGAGGGCCCTGCCGCGGTGGTCTTGTGGCTAAGGTACTCAGGTCGCGGGATCGAATCCCGGCTGTGGCGGCTGCATTTCGATGGAGGCAGAAATGTTGTAGGCCTGTGTGCTCTGATTTGGGTGCATGTTAAAGAACCCTAGGTGGTCAAAATTTCCGGAGCCCTCCATTATGGCGTCTCTCATAATCATATGGTGGTTTTGGGACTTTATACCCCACATATCAATCAATCAATTGAAATTAATCAATGAAAGCAATGAGATACGAGGTTGCTCGACCATCCTATTTTTGCTGCTGCAACGGGTGAAAGCTTAATAAATGGGAAAGGAAGTGTGCTTACATTGGGAAAGAAAGTAGTGTACACATTATTAATTATTGGTATCCATTTTTAAAAAATACTCCTTATTCTTGCTTGGAAACGAGAGGGTAGGAAGAAAGTTTCCAGAATACGCTAGCTTTTTCAAGGATCCCCTAAAGAAAATAAGGCATGAAAGGCTTCTCAAGTAAGGCAAAGATATGGTCTGAGGTAAGGAGCGTTTCAGAATATGGGCCATAGCATTTGTACTTGTTGAAAGCAAAATATTTCAGATTTAAATTTTCTCGGGAAATGTTGACCACGCAAGAATTCCTTCTCTGCTACAGAACTATGAATTTATTGCCTGAGTGCTGCTCCAAAACAAAGCCTGCTTCAACTCCTGAAAATGCTAACACTTGTGCTGTGTTTTTCTTCTGTGTTCACCAACAGTTCGCACTTCTTGTATATCTTGTAGTTTAGTGTTTGCTATCATCTTGTACAGCTTTAGTTTGTTGCGCTTATTTCACTGTTAGGAAAATTTACCTTCTTCATTCTGATTGCAGTAGACTCTCCTTAAACAAATCTTGAAGGTACCACGAGAATATTTTTGTGTAAAAGGAGTTCTATTTATTCGGAGATCAACAATGGTGGAGAATCGGAGTATGAAAGCAATCGGGCTGGAGGCAGTTGTTCCATTGAAGCAGCAGTTCTGTTCAACAAATATTCGTTTACTGAGAGTCTGTTGTATAGAGCAGTATCTGGAAGGGTTAAATTAAAAAAAGCTCCTGTACATTTTCGGCACACTTATCATATGGGAATACAGTCTAGACAGCTGAAAAATCTGCTAATTGTCAAGTGTAGCGGTGAACTTTCAATAAAAGATTGTTGCTTTCTGTTCTAAAAAGTGGGTATGATTAAATATCTGGGGAATAAAAAATAAATACAATAAATGACAATATGTGAATAAATAAAGGTATGTAAAAAAATGGTGTTTCTAATAACATAATTGAGCGGCAACACACCAGCCTCTGTTCTCAGAATGGAGAAATTCGATTTAATGTCAGGTGTGCAAAATAACAATTTGTCATAACTTTGCATTTATCTGAGCTCATGATGCTATACATGGTTAAATTGATCGAATTAATGTTGTGAAAGCCGATTTGCAAAGCATTTTTCACTTCAGTAAAGTGTACATGCTTTCAGTCAGTTGGGGTGGAGAAAGCAATTGAGTACTAAATCTACAAGATGCAAAACTTTGCTGAAGGCTGTACAGTGTAGATTTTTATGGCTCTCTCGCTGGTCATTGAACACGTATCAGTGTTGCCCACAAACTCTAAAGGTTAGGCTGAATTTCAACAAACTGTAATGCGACAGAACCATTCACATGCTAGTTGAGCACTTAAAGGTGTATTAATGAGATCTAACAGACAATTTTGCCAAGGAAAGTATAGGGGATGTTATATGAGGTCATTGTAATGTAAATGTGAAGAAAGAAAAATGTCAGGCCTACGCGTAAGGCGCAGCACAGTGACAGCGAAAGCTACAAGAGTGGCCTTTCAGAGCCTTTTCAGAACACTCATTGGCTAACTTGCTTGACACCCACTAGGGCATTAATAATAAATTTTCTTGGGTAGTAAGCCGGTATTCGCTAAACACTTGCAAGGAATTTTGTGCCAATTGTTCATGCACGACGATAAGGAATTATGGCTTAAGTGGGTATGCGCCACAGTTAATAGGGTAACAAGAACAAGATTTTGTAATGGGTTGGAGCATTGGGCGGCCCAGTCTTTACGCTATTCACATTGTGCGACGACTGGTTGTTCTTTCACTGTTTTAAAACTCTAAGTCATCAAGCCAGCCTAAGACATCAAGCCGGCCTTAGGCAAGTTTGCCAACAAGTCACAAGTACCCGCGCGTAGCTCAGTGGTAGAATACTGGGTTGGCCCCCAGCGAACCCGGGTTCGAGCCCCACTGTGTCATTGGTGCTAGGTTTTTTTTTTTTCTAATTTTGCTCGATGTGGTTACGGACACCGGCAGCGGCGAGGGACAAACTGCGGGTGACCCGAGTTGTGATCTCATAACAGCTTTCGTTGTAAAAAGTGGACGAAAAGATAACATGCAGTGGGCAGAGACCAAACCTACGACCTTCGAATAACGCATCTGATGCTCTATTAACCCAGCTACCATGGCAGCTATTCCCCTCCCCCCCCATCTACTTTATAGAGTATGTATGTGCATTAGACATGGGGGCATGAGTCAGCGCCGCATCATGATGGCGAGTCTGGAACGGACTTTTTTCTGCCTATCTGGTGTCGCATAGCACGTGATCTTATTACGAGCTGGGAGTTGAGCCATAAATACCTCGTATACTACGTGGAGGCACCGAGTTTGCCGGAACGAGACCCTCGCTATATGAATATAGCTCCCACGGTTAATGCACATACATACCTTAGAGTGGACGTGGGGATAGCCGCAGTAGTAGCAGAGTTGGTAGAGCATCGGACGCGTTATTCGAAGGTCGCAGGTTTGGTCCCTGCCCACGACAAGTTATCTTTTCGTCCACTTTTCTTTTTTCACATTTACATTATAATTACCTGATATACCATACCCTGTACATTCCTTGGCATGATCGTCTGGTAGATTTCATTAATATTGTGTCTAACAAAGAAAACGAGCCCTTATATGTACACTTGTTTCCTCTCTCAGAGGTGTGTATAATTCAGTAAGGCCTGTTATTGACTGACTGCCTGCAATACATGATTTTTTTGAAAGTGTAATGAACACAAGCTTTCACTAGTTCAATATAATGTGATGAAATGGGCAGCTTGACAAAAGCCCAATCCTATGTAGTGATGGAGAAACTGTTGTTTTGTGATTGCAGATCACGAATGGCAGCAGTGCAGCAGTTGAGAACGCTGTCTCCTTGACTGGGGCATTGCAGCGTGCTGTGCAGCGTGCTGGCGTACGGCCCCCCCGCAGTGGCATGGAAGCATTTTTGTCAGAGGCTCGCCAAAACCCCTCTCTTCAGGCAACTCACAAGTTGCAGTTTCAACAAGCCGTACGGGAGCGACTCTCCTCCGACCCAGATTTTCGGGCTGACCGCTTTCCTAATGCCCACAAGTTCTACTGTAGCTCAGACCCATAGTGTGTCTGGGAAATGGGGGTGAAATGAGGGAAGGAGGGAGCCACTGCCTTGATAGCCTGCTTGACCCACAGAGTCGGCAAGCTACGTTAGCTTAAGGCATCTGTAATGGCACTTTGACTTGGGTGAGTTGGTACATAATTGGATAGGCTTCCGCGCGATATAGACGAAGACCATAGGGGACACACAGAACAGCGCTCGTCTGTGTGTCTCTTATGGTCTTCGTCTAAATTGCGCTGAAGCATTTCCAATCTGTGAGGGCCCTTTGTTCGTGTAATTTGTGCTGTCACTGGTGAAAATGCCGTTCTTCTAGGTCATTGAAATAAATAGAGCCTGTGCCACTGCGGGCATTGCAAGGCTGTCATAGGAAAATGGTTAAAGAGTGCTGTACAAAGGTGTTCACTTTACCCTTCTATACACCTAGTTGTGGTACCAGTTGTCACCTGCCTTCCGTGGCAGCTAATGCTGTAAGAAACAACTACGCTCTACAATAGATTTGAGTGAAAAGAGCCTTTAAGCTTTATATAGAAAAAATGGATGTTTAAATTTGAAACGTGAGAAAACTGCCCCAGCCTTTGCCATTAAATAAAAGTTTTAGAAAGTACAAGTTTCTTAAAAGCCACACCATTACTGGATCAAAAATGATAAAAAGACAATAGAACAAAAACATTTATCAGGCTATCCCAAATAATTGCTGATCTTCGTCACAACCAGTTACCGTTCATTATTGCTGTGTGAACTACAAACAAATGTTACAGCCGAGGCTGAAGCAAGGTTAGGTATTCCGGGATTGCAAGAAGGATATGATAGGGTTATCATGCTCTTCATTTCAACATTCACGTCTGTGCTGAAATCAAAGTAGCACAAAATAAATGGTGCTTTCTCAGAAGTTGTGCAATGGTATATTTCTTTGGTGGTGCCTCATACTTGCTGTGCATCTAAAGCTGTTCTGCTGCAACAGTTGGTTTTGGCACCTAGAACCAGAAGTTGGTCTTGTCATTGTGTTGCTTCCTTATTCTAATTAATTCTGTATGCCCAATTCTGGCACAAAAAGATATGCTCGTAATGTATGCCTGCGCAGGGTGTCCCAGTTAAAGTAAAAGAAAAACGTTACTAACACTAACACAGCTAAAAAAAGTAAAAGAAAAACGTTACTAACACAGCTGAAACCAGCAGCATTTAGTTGCCAGTTCTTCTACACAGTGGTGGTCCAACTGCGCGAACTGCACTATTTTGCTAAAATTTCATCAACTGCGCTAAATTTTTTTAGTCCACCCGTTTACATGGCGTCTGAGCAACGTAAGGATGACTGGATCAGCACTCTTCTGCGATTCCTTTCAGACCCGTCGACTTCTCCATCTTCTCGAACGTTGCGCCGTCAAGCAGCTCACTTTGAGGTCCGCGATGGCCTTTTTTCTCGCAGGAATTACAAGTCCGACGGCCGAAAGTGGTTACTCGTCATACCTCGCCATCTTCGTGCTGCAATATGTTCAGCTTTCCACACTGACCCTCAGTGCGCACATGTAGGCATTTTCAAAACATACGCTCGGCTTTCCTCCCGGTTTTATTGGCGAGGCATGTACACCTTTGTGCACAAATACATTCAGTCATGCCCGCAGTGCCAACGACGCAAAGCTCTACCTCATCATCACGCCTCTGGTCCGATCCGGCCAATCCCTTGCCCAGCCAGGCCTTTTGACCGCGTTGGAATCGATCTGTATGGGCCTCTTCCATTCACGGCTTCCGGAAACCGTTGGATCGTTGTTGCTGTCGACTACTTGACGCGATACGCAGAAACAGCCGCTTTGCCTGCTGCCACAGCACGCGACGTATGATCATTTCTCCTGCGGAACTTCATTCTCCGTCACGATGCACCACGTGAACTTCTCAGCGACAGAGGACGTGTATTCCTTTTTGAAATCGTCAACCCACTCCTTGCCGAATGCCGTATCATTCACCGAACTACCACTGTCTACCATCTGCAGACGAATGGATTGACGGAAAGATTCAACCGTACCCTAGGGGACATGCTATCTAAGTATGTTGCCTCAGTCCACTCCGATTGGGACCTCATTCTGCCTTTTGTGATGTACGCATATAACACTGCTCCACAGGCGACTACGGGCTTTTCGCCATTTTTCCTATTATATGACCAAGACCCTACCACCCCGATTCCTTCGAGTCTACGCCTATCTCTGAAGCTGCCCGCCGCGCCGAGGAATGCCGTAAGCTCGCCCAGTCGTTCACAACCATCGACCAATGGAGACAAAAGTCTCGACGTGACAATAACCAGCCATACCCTAACTACCGGACACTCTTGTGTGGCTTTGGGTTCCCGCTGTCTCTACAGGCCTTTCCTCGAAGCTTGTTTCAAAATACCAGAGACTCTACCGCATTGTCTCGCAGACTTTTCACCTGTCACACTGTGTTAACTACATTGTCGAACCCGTTAAGCCATCCACAGACCAGCGCTTTCGTGGTTGTGAAACCGTTCACGTACAGCGGTTGAAACCTTATTACGGTCCGCTTGTACCCTGTTCTCCGCGAGTCGCCAGGATGGCTTTTTCCGACGGGGGACGAAATATAATGTAAATGCAAGGTCAAAAGCGGTAGCAGCGTCGGTACAGAAGCAGCAAGAGCAGGCCGAGTATAGGGGCAGCATCTCGGCAACAACCAAGCAGCCTTAGCTTGCGCCTCGCGAAGACGTGTCGATGTCGCTGCAGTAGTGGGCATTCCTCTTCACTACAGTTCACAGAAAACTTGACATGCTCTGCTCTAAGTGATTCTAAATTTCGTTTGTCTGCTTAAAATTTTCTCTAAAACACGGTTCTTCCTGCTTTGCATCTGCTCGAATACACTTTTTCCTGCTCCGAAAGTTGTGCCAAATTCTTAACTGGCTGGACCACCACTGCCTACACCACCACGATAATCTTGTGTGTTAATTACAAGTAGATGTGAGAGAGAAGTAAACGTTTATTTTCGAAACAGTGCCCCGAGCAAGGCCCGGTGTCACCAAGTAGGTGTGAAACAAATTTTTTAAAGGAACCGACAACTGCCCAGAACATGAAATGAGATGACTTTACTGATGAAAATAATGTCTGTCACCTTGACTGAAACCAACCCTGTTCTTTTCGTGGGATGTGGATTTACATTTTTATTTCATCATTGAAAGTTGTGAAAAGTGACTTGTGGCTTCTCTGGTGGCAAAAGCATGAATGATCCAGTGTACCTGGCCACATGACTGTTGATTGCTGGACGCGATCGACAATTTTTCAGAAGTATTGAAATATTCTTCACTTCTTTGTATTAAAAAATATTACTCCATAAAAATATATGTGTAGGCCTGCATTATTAGTATGCAAAAGTGGCACTGCCTCTGCTTGACGTGATGATCCAATGCTCGTCGGTGCATCTTGAGCAACTAACTTTCAGCCTGCTCATGCAACCATGCACGCGGTTTCCAGGCCACTGAAAATTTGGAGCTACATAGTTTTTTCTATCTACACTTCCATCTCAAATGTCGTGCACTGCTACTTGGCGCAGCCGTGCATGTGCATAGTGATGTTTTCGATGGCTTGGCTCGTGTATCGAAAGGTAAGGAAGCTGGGACAAGCCACCACTGACACAGGCAGCCTTGGGAGCAGGTGCACCAATGTGTATAAAACGCGGTACAGATACAGGGAAAGTGTATGAATACCTCATCTCATAACAGCTTGTTATTTTCAAAAATAGTTCAAAAGCTTAAAATACAAGTGTTTAGGCAGACTCGCAAAAACTCCTGCGAAAGCAGAACGTTGACTGCTTGCACAAATTGTCAGAAGGGCTGGTGGCATCGTTATCTATTCTCTGTGTTGGAGGAAAGGTACATCTGTGTTGGAGCCTTTTAGATTGAAAAATGCTGCCTGTTAAACAACTATGTTCTTTTGAGATTAACTACTGCAACTACAAACACTATGAAGGTTGAGCTTGCTGTTGTGTCATATAAAAATGTGTAGAGAAAAATCATTTGTCAGTTGGAAGTCAGCTGACTTCCAACTGAAAAGTTCTTATTGTGCCCATAAAACATCTCCTTCAGTCATATACAGCAGGTTAGGTTCTGTGTGATTATTCTTTCATATTTACATGTCTGTGCACCTTAACACAAGCAGTCCCTAGAATTTTCTTATGCAACGTAATCCGTTCCTTGCCTGATGTGGCAACCATGTGGCTGTGTGCTTGAGCTCTAAATATGGAAGCTAATGCAGACAACCTGCTACTTTAATGCCCATGCCAAATCAAGCAGTAAGTGTAGCTAAATAGTCATCAAAATTTTTTTGAGGATTGCTGGTGTATAGGCGCGTTATCACATGCTCCTATTCATATTTTAAATGCTAAGAGTCAAGTGCAGAAAATGATACATAGAACATAGTGGACTGGAAAGGACTGAAGGTTATGTCTTGTAGTGCAATAACAACTTTCTTGAATCAAAACTTGACCTTTTGATAAGAAAAAGTAGCGGTGGAAGATAACTGATGAATAAACACTGCAGGTCCTCTAGGCGTTCTGTATCATTTTTTTTTTGTAACGGCTTGCTTACACTGGCAGGGGCGCTATGAAAACAGTGATCACAGAAGTACAAGTGAATGCTTCTATATACTTTTTTTAATGAGAAATTGTAGAACCGGAAAGACTTTTTTTTTGTGCATAATATATTGCTGTATATTATCACTAATGATTTTTGTAGTACTTTGCAAAAAAATTAAAATCTATTGGCCTACTGAAGTAGTAGTCTTCTATGCATCTGTGCTGGTATTTTGCTTACATTGATTGTGCGAGTTTCAGAGTTGATGAAAAGGTTACCAACACTAGCCTAATTCATTTACCATGTATTTTGTAAGGGACGAATAGGCTGGTTATTCAAAAATTGTGACCCACCCAAAGATGTGTATTTACTATGTAGTGTTAAGCTGATCGCTGAACGTAACACAAAGTGTAGAAATGAATCGAACGAATGTACAGAAAGGTTTGAGGTTTAAGAGGAGAGATCTGTGAAAAAAATATGTGTATGGTCATTGTGTCACATCACCATTTCAAGAAAAATAAAAACATTTTATGTGAGCTTTTTTCTTTGTCTGGCTTTGTAAGTTGTGTGTATCCTTGCTAATGTAGAGTATACTACACAATAGAAGTTTCCATGTGTGTGAAGTAACCTGGAAGCAGCATTTATATGGCCTAATCAACGGAATGCATTTGGTTAACAAGCTCGACATTTTTATTCAGGCCCAGGCCACCACAAATTTTTTTACTAGCTGTTTGCAGAGCCCAGCTACTATATATGCAGGACAAACATGGTACTATGCATCTTGTAGTGGTGCAGTATTGTTCTGAGCCATGCAGAGCATGTCAATATTGTTTCAATCTGCCAAGTTTTGTTATCAACAAGGATTGCTTGAACTTTTCAAATAGTAACTCATGTGAAAAATCTTTAATACAAAAGTTGTAGCAATTCAGATTACAGTGAGAGATTGAGTAATTTTAGACCAGCTGCTGGGTCCTCTTGAACTGGCAGGTGATTTCTATGCAAATAAACTATGGTGAAGCAAAGTAACCGATTCCCGGTGGCAAACGCATTCATACTTTACATGTCTGTAACACAGGTTGTATGGACACAAAGATCACTTACTGTGGCTGATCATGCCATCCCTCAGTCTCCTGGCAGCTCTGCAAGAAAACTAAAGCTGTTCTAGATAAGGGAGTGCACATAAACGAACTGCAAAATACATGGTGTCCCGCGCAAGCCATAAAGGTATCGCACACAATCTTCACTCTTTCAAAAAAGCAAAAAAAAAAGCAAGGTACATCTGCATGGCAAGCAGTAGAAAGTTCCTGGAAAAGTTAAGTACTAAGAGA